TAAGCACTTCCTTCAATGCTGACAATTTTAAACATTTAAAAATAGCTTTAGCAGGCTGGGGTTGTGGCTCAGTGGTAGAGTGCTTGCTTAGCATGTGTGAGGCACTGTATTTGATTCTCAACACCACATACAAGTTTAAAAAAATAAAAGTCCATCAGCAACAACAAAAAATAAATTAGCAGGGCTGGGGATATAGCTCAGCTGGTAGAGTGCTTGCCTTGCATGCACCAGACCCTGGGTTCTAATCTCCAGCACCACCACCCCAAAATACTAACTTTAGCAATATTTTCAACCCACAAATGTTTTTTGAGCACTTTATTAACACCAGGCAGAAGTCCCTGCTTCCTGGAACTCACAGTTTAAACTCACCTACACTTTTTTTTTTGTTACAAAAATATGAGTTTATTTTTTTCACATCTTCATACATGTGTTTTGTATAATGATAACCATCACCTTCCACCATCCTTGCTATTCCCCTTCCCCCTCCCTTACCCTCCTCTCACTCCTATTCTCTATCTAGAGGTAATCTTCCTCCAATGCTCTCCCCTTCCTACCCCACTTTGAGTAACCCCCCTTATATCAGAGAAAACATTTGGCATTTATTTTTGGGGGGGGATTGGCTAACTTCACTTAGCATAATCCTCCCTAATGCCATCCATATTTCCCTGCAAATGCCATGACTTTATTCTTTTTTAGTGCTTAGTAATATTCCATTGTGCATAAATGCCATTTTTTTTATCCATTCATCCACTGAAGGACATATAGTTTGGCTCCACAGTTTAGCCATTGTAAACTCACCTACACTCTTGAGTTGTATTGTCAACATGGTACTGACTAGCCACATGTGGCTACTGTGCACTTCACACTTTTTTTTGTACATGTACAGAGGAGTGAACCCAGTTATATCCCCAGCCCTTCTTATTTTTTATGAGACAAGGTCTCACTAAGTTGCTGAATCTGGCCTTGAATTTGTGATCCTTCTGCCTCAGCCTCCTAAATTTCTGGGATTATAGATGTGAATTTTAATTTTATTTAATCTAAATTTTAAAATGGACTTGATTAAGCTATTGGAAAACTTTTAAGCATATTTAGAACAACTTGTGAATCTACTTTATAACTGTACATTTTATAAAATCTAAATGCAGAACAAGTATATCTAATGAAAACTTAGCATCCAAATTGAGGTATAAATGTAAAATATGCACCAAATTTCAAAGATTTAACATAAAAATGTCAAATATCTCAATAATTATTAGATTACATATTTAAATAGCAATACTTGGTATATTTGATTACATATGTGACTCACATTGTAATTCTATTGACCTGCCCTAAAACAATGATTTGCCTAGGAAAAAATGTAAACAATTTAGGGCCACTTAATTATAAGACATCTGAAATGGTGAAGCAAGCTCTATCTTCCCTCTAGAAAGATTGCTGGCACAGGGTTTAAGGGATTCTTATTGATAGAGGATTTTAATCACAAAATAACAATATCCCAACTTGGCAACTCCAATATATAAGTAATATCTCAGTAGCTCAAGGGAAAGGTGTCAAAGAAATAGCTTTGCATTTTTCCATGGATAGTCTTATAAGAAGTTGTCTAATAAGTGAAGTCATTAAAAACAAAGATTTTAGAAAGTTGCAAAACTTACTAGAATATGAATGAAAGACAAAGTAATTTTGTTACCTTAAACTGTTTATTTCATAAGCTGATATAAGATAAAAACTATTCTAAGAAAAGCTTTCACCCAGGAATTTTAAGCCATCGTGGAATTAATTTATTAAGTTATCATTACTTGTACTTCTATGGTCACTCCAATTCTTATTGTATACTCAGGTAGTTAACAGCATGAGAAGAAAGTGTCCTATTTAAGATTCTCTCAGCAATCTACACAGATTCCTTGCTATCTGAAGCAGATAAAGACTCCATCAAGTACAGAAATCCACTTAAGGGTCCTAGAAAACATCCCATTTCCTCAGCATTGGCACAGTGTGTCAGCTGACTCCCAGATTCCTGGGCATACAGATAAGGCTACATTTTCCAGCTTCCCTTATGGTTGATGTGACCAAGTTCTCAACAGTGAATGTAAAACATATTTGCCATTACCTTGCCTAAGTCATAAAAACTTTCATTAAGTCCAACTCTCCCACCCACTCCTACTCTTTCCCTTTCTCTAGGTTAATGAAAAAAGAACTCAGAAGCCATATATCAAGGTTGCAGAGCCACAGGATGGAAGAGAGTTGGATTCCCAAATAACCACTAAGGAGGTCACTCATCTACCAGAATACTCTTGTGAGACAATTAGGTGATCAAAAAATATACCTCTATTTTGTTAGGCTACGAAAGTTTGGGGATGCAGCAAGCATCACCCTGAAGATATAAATAGTGACCCAAAGGACTGAAATTTGGCCAAACAACAAGCCATTTTCACAAGTCTCAGATAATCACTGGGCAGCAACACCCCATCTTTTGATTTTATCTTTTCTCTACCCCGCCATCCTTTTACTACTCCCAGCTGTATTGTGTGCAAGACTATGACTACACAGACATGTAAACAGGTGAAGAAAAAGTCAATACATATATGAAAAGGTGCCTAATATCACCAATCATCAGGGAAATATAAATTAAAACCACAGCACATGGCTAGAATTAACAACACTGGCAATACCAAGCAATGGTGAGGTGTGGAACAAGTGAAACCATTTTATTATCCTGGCAGCTATATTAAACGTCACTGCCATTTTGGAAAACTCCTCAGCTATTTCAAATAAAGTTAAAATATAGCACTTTATGATCAATTCCACTCCTAGAGATATGCAAGAGAATTAAGTGCTTAAGTTAACCAAGGCTTGCACAAGAATATCCATAGCAGCTTTATTCATAATAGTCAACTGGAAAAAATCCAAATTCCCATTAACAGACTGGAAAAATAATTGGTAGTATATTCAAATGAAGGATCAATATACAACAATAAAACTATTGACACACAAAACACGGATCATCTGATATATTATGTTGAGCAAAAGAAATCAAATACAAAAGAGGACATAGTCTATGATTCTATTTATATGAAGTTCAAGAACAGTAAATTCAATTTATGGTGGAAAAAAATTAGACAAAGGGAGTAAAAGGAAGGGAACTGTCTAGGGTGATAAAAAATTTTTCCATATCTTTATTTGGGAGATGGTTATACATACTATACACAGATAAAACTTTAAGCAGTACACTTAAGATTTGTAGCCTTTCATTATTTGTAAAATTTATTTCATTTTCTTTTCTCTTTTGTGGTGAGGTGGTGCTGGGGATTGAACCCAAAGCCTCATTTAAGCTAATTAAGCAAATTTTCTACCACTGGGCTACATTCCCAGCCTCTGTAAATTTTATCTCAAATTAAAAAATAATAAAGTTAACCTCCTCAAGATCACACAATTAGTAATAGAGTTGAACTTTAGTCAATTTGAATCATTTCATAAAGAATAAGGTTTATTCCTAATGAATTATATATATCAATAAGAAAAAATATAAGAAGTCTGTTTCTTCTTACCTTTAGAATTAGCATCTTTCTCTCAATATATTTTCTTCATAGAATCCTCATTATGGCAAACTATTTATTTGGGCACAGATATACTATAAATTCTACTCCAAAGGATAGTATTTACTTTGCGACACAGCAAGAGCAATTCCATTAATAGATTTGAAATAAATTATTGGAATCAAATTTTCTCAGATAACTACTAACCCAATAAAACACCTCAGCTGAAGAACAAACATCTAAGGATGAAACTATCAGAACTTGCATTGCAACATTTAACTGGCAAGAACACATTGGGGAGTATCCTCAGTTGATTCATGGGTTGTCATGAATAAATCTACAGTTGTGGAACTGGACTGATGAAACACTTGATGAGTATATAGTAAGATGCCAAAATGGTCAATTAAGAAGCATCAATCATGCTGTGCGATACCCCAAGGGCAAACTGTATTTGTAATACAGATTCAAACACTATACCAGAATTGTGACCACTGACTTGTTTCTTAAGAATTAACTTCTATTAAACATTGTTAAAGTACCTAATGCAATACCAGAATAAAATCTGAGCATCAAAACACAATTTTACCAGCAGTCAGCTATGATATCCTGCATTCTTACATAGGTCTGCTTCTTTAAAAATGTTTTATACAACAGCATGGATTGTGTGACTTCATCAGATGGGAGATTCAGGGAAACATTCATTTGTCTTCCTTTTACACATAAGCAAACCAAGGCCTAAAGCTGATCACTGACATGCTGGCATCACATGTTTTAAGTCTACTCTGACCAGTTCCCTTATTATGAAGCATCATGTTCACCTTATTATACAGCACCCCTGTCCTCCAACACATAAAAGTTCTTGAATTAAAGTGTTTTCATTTCTGTTGAGGATTTTTATTTCTCCAACATGGAAATCAAAAAGAAAAATCAAGTCAAAATAAATATATCCAAGCCTTTGGGATAAATTCATGTCTTATGAAGTTTTTGTTGTTGTCGTTGATGAATAGCGAAAAAGAATCTCACAAAAATAGGAGACTCCAAATCCAGAAAACACTGATGGAGACAAAAACCTTTCAAAGGATTCCACAAAGTAAATACAGATGCTCTACTAAACATTCAGGTAAAGGTCTAAGGAATTTACCTGAGTCGCCAGCTCCCAAACCCAAGAACAAACCTCCTTTGCTTATTTCAATTTCCAGCAGCCAGTGTTAATGTTCCTACACTCTGAGGTTATCACTCTCTATCCAACTTGAAATCAGTCGGGACACCATCTCCTGAGAAGGGTTCAATCTACAGTCCCCAAAATCTTTGGTATCTCTGTTAATGAGTTTCAGAGAGGTTGACAAATCGTTTTATGTCAAACGTGGGACTATAATTTACTTGATCCAAAAAGAGTAGGAACTGCAATTCTAAAATGAGAGCCCAGCGAAACTCAGCTGCGCCTCACCCCACAGCGCCACTCACCTGGATAAAGCCAGCCCGAGTTCCCAGCTGCACAGGCCCCTTCCGGGATGCTCGACTCAGTCCCCTAGAACCCGCTGGGCCAACCTCCACTCTGCCTGGTGAAGGCGCCTGCCGCCATCCCAGGGAGTGGAAGGACCACCCGGTCCGGGCCGCCCCTGGGCGCCGCCTCCTTGAGCTGGGAACGCGGGCGGAAGCAGCTTCGCAAAACCGACAACTCTGCGGTGGACCTAGTGGAACGCAGCTTCTAGTCCGTTTAGGCTCGCCTCTTCCCTGGCTGGACCTTCAGGGTATGGCCATGGGAAACGACTCAAGTGCGTTCTGGATTAATATTCACAAAAGAGGTGCACAGGGCATGGCTCAGAGCAGGATGAATGAATCTAAAGCCCGAGAGAAAGTACTAACAGCCTCAGGCAAGTTGAAGTTTTAATAAGGACTTCCGAAGATGCTTCAAAATTGTAAATAGGTACTCTGTTTTCAATACATTTAAAAAGCAGTTAAGCAACCTAAGTTCCATTCTTATACCCGCACTAACTGGTAAGAATGATATGCTTCAGGAGAGCAATTTTCCTATCTATCAAAATTATATGGCCAAAAAAAAAAAAAAAAAAAAAGAAAAACAAAAACCTACATTTTAGGGTTTGTTGCAAGTTTCAAAATAAGAGAGAAAGCTTTCAGTAAGCTTTTTTCTTCTGGTGGCCTTTAAAATTATTTCTGTTATTATTAGAAACATGGGAATAATTCTGTACAGTCAAGGGCTGCACACACAAAAACTGAGAATAAATGAATGATGAAAGTACAATATTAAGCCACCAAAAATTAAAACAAACCTGGGGAGGGGCAAAAAATCACCAAGGGCTTAGGGTGTAGCTCAACACTAAGAGCTCTTTTTTAGCAAGCACAATTAAATCCCCAACACCACAAAACAATCAGGGTCACAAAAAATGAAAAGCTGACTTCGAACAAATAAGGGGACCAATTTAGAGGTACCTATACAAATAGCATAAATATGAAGTTATGGAAAATGCAAAAGGGTTAAACTAATACTGCTCTGCTGTATAGAAATGTTATCCATGCTGATTCATATAAAATCAGGAGAACCTCTTGCTCTTTGCACCAAGACCCAAACCAAGTCTGGTGCAGTAGAGTCTGTAGTTTTACCCACTCTGAGTGAAATCAGAACCCCACTAGGTGCCCTGCTACATGAACACTACTCCCAAACCCTCATATATGCTTGGTATTCCTCATCTGAGGTGCGGTAGGTACTTTAGGCCTTTTGTGGCTGCAAAGGGTTGAGGAAGAAAACATAACCCTTATCAGCCACACCTGAACCTATGCCTGAAATTTCAAATATATAAAAGGATACTAAGGGACGAGGAGAAAGGCACAAAAATTTGACAAATCAAGCAAAATCAAAAACTTTAAAAAAGCAATCCGGATGACTATGACCAAGAAATTCTTTGATTTGTACTGAATTTGAGTAAAGCTAGCCCTGTGTGTATAACTTACATAAATTATGAAGGCTTAAGATGTCAGATGCCAAATAGCAAAAACATCCATGCTCAATTAAAACAATGATTTCTTAAGCTAGATTCCAAGAATTAAAGAAGTACTAATGAAGCAGAATATTCACTAATTACTTAACATTTTGGGTGGGACAGCTCCGATATTCAAAATTGCTAAAAATATGAAAAGAGCAAAAATTCTAGCAGAACCTAAGAATAAACAAAGAAAAAATACTTAAAAGATATTATAGGATTAGTTCAGCAGTTCTGAAATCCAAAAAAAGTTCCAAAAAAGAGAAAAATTAGGAAAAACTATTTAAGCACAAAGGCCTATTCATGATTACAAAATTGAAGAAAAATATTTATTGTGATCTTTCAAGGAAAATTAACTTTGAGCCTAGAAAGGCAAAAATATTGGAAAGGCATGTTTCCGATGGGGAAAAAATTATAAAGTAAACAAATTATTGCTTAGAGTATGGTCCAAATTTAAAGATTTGACCCTGACCCTTATAATCATTCTCCCTATAGACACAGAGATTGTAAAATCAATAAAGAAAAAAAGAAAAAATTAAGACTATTAATTGTAAAATCCAGTGAGCAATAGGTACATAGATACAATGTAAAAACTGGCTACTAAGTTTCAATTTTATAATCAACTTGTAGATATAAGAGAGACTATGGCTATAAAAAATGTAAATATAGAGTTACAGATGTGGTATAAAAAGAAAAGCTGGGAAGGAAAAGAGTGTCAAAATATACTTCTGAAGTGAGGTGAGTTTAAATTTTCACTTATCAAACATTAACAGATGTCTAAACAGGACAGATGGAAAAAAAAATGTACTTAGAACAAGAAGAAGCCAGGAATGGATGATTGTGGGAGAGCAATTTGGAAAAGAAGAGGCAGAATAATACTTTTTTCTTGATGGTTTTGCCCTCTTTATTTTTTTTTAGTTGTAGATGGACACAATACCATTTATTCATTTTTATTTGGTGCTGAGGTTCAAACCCAATGCCCCACACATGCTAAGCAAGAACTCTACCACTAAGCTACAACCCCAATCCAAATATTGCTTTTTATTATAAACTTTTATCATATTTTATTTTCTAATCATAGATGTTACTTTGATAATTTTTAAAGAAAGCATTCAAAATTATCCCTAGAAATAAGTAACTGAACATAGGAACATTAACAGTTGGTATGTAATAATGATAGGATTATATATGATCTTCCTTCCAATTTTATGTCTGATTCAGCAATGCTACTTATGGTAATTTGACAAATCAAGCAAAATCAAAAACTTCTAAAAAAGCAAGCAGGATGGCTATGACCAAGAAGCTGTTTGACTAAATGAAACAATAATAATGGAAGAATGGTCTGTAAATGTTCTTTGTATACAATATAAATTAGAAAATTAAGACACAGTAAATGTTTCAAATAACAATGCAAACATGTTTATTTATTTAAGTCTTTCCCAGAAGTGAGATTACAGAGTGAAATATTTCCCAGATTTTTGTTCACTGAAATTCCCTTTGAGTTGTCTGTCCTTTGTGCATTCATCTATCAGTATTCCTAAATGTCCACATATAAAGAATTACACATTAATAACCAACTGTGATCATAGTAATGTTGTTTACTTTTCACTTTTTCTCTATAGGCAATTAATCCCTTTTAATCAAATCTGTTAATTGTTATCTTTGTGATTTCAGTCCACAGAGCTTAACTTGAACCTTTTTCCCGATACAAAGGTTTTTAACTCTATTTTGTAGTCTGAATTTCTTGTAGTTCACATGAAATTTTTAATATGGCACAGGGTAGACATCTAACCAGTTATTCTACACTATCTGCCTGAATACACTTTCTTTTCCATATGTGATGCCTTATTAATAACTAAATTCCTATAACAAGATATACATTGGGAATGTCACTTTGGATTGTGTTTAGATCAATAACACTTAAATCTGATCATTTTGTCTCAATATTTACACCTCACTTGTTTTATATCTTAATGTTTAAGGTTCATTCATTTAACTTATTAAGAACTTATACTCTAGGCATATAAAGTTCAAAATATATAATGGTGAATGAAAAAGAGGGTTCTTTCACTAATTATAAAAATGAATCAAAAATTGTGACAAAAGTAAACAGTATTGTTTTTGTTAACTGGGTTTGAGTTCCAAGACTTATTACATTTGTATATTAATGCATTTTATACATTAATTTGTATAAGCTTTTTTTTTTTTTGAGGGGTCTCACTATGTTGCCTAGAATGGCTCGAACTCGTGATTCTCCTGCCTCAGCCTCCTTCAGTAGCTGGGATTACAGATGTGCACTACCATGCCCAACTCTTGTAAGGTTTTTTTGTTAACTGCACTGGTTTCACAGATGCAATAAAACAAAATTTCAAAATATAAAAGTTGAGAACTGTGGCATGTAACAGAGAAAAATTTAAAGTGCTATTGGAAAACTTAAGGGAAAATGGTTTCTCCAAGGAAAGTCTGTATATTATAAAAACAAACATTTGTTATGCCACTGAGTATAGAGCTCACATTGCAAACTAACCATTTGCATCACACAGCTGATCTAAAATCAAAATCACCCTGAAAGGCTTCAGTCTTCCACTTTTTGTTTCATGAAAATCATGTTATCACATTATAGTGACATGCTATTGCTTTAAAGGCTCAAGCAGAAATGAGACTCAATAATTTTTTTTTAAACAGAAGTGCATCATATTCTATTGCTTGTCTTGAAGGAGCAATAAACACTATAGTAAGACTTAGCACTTAGACATAAAACATGTCTAAACCCCAAAGAATATATTAGAAATAAGCAAGACATTTAGAATGCTTTAATATTTCCAGTTAACACCATTTGTATCAGTAACTGCAACGCTGTAACTTTAAGCATTTCACACAACTAGTCAATAAGGATTTTTTTAAGGGTGGGAATGAGAACAGAAGGATAGGAAATACAAAAATGTCAGTTTCACACTTCTGTTAAAAATTTAAAAATCAAAACTATTTTCTTCTGTGCATCAAAACCATACCACAGAATTGAAGCATGTTTTTTAGTTTTAATCCCATGACTCATCATCTACTGGATTGGGAGCTTGTGAAGAAGATGAAAACCCTGCTGCATTCAGAGTGCTCTTGGCCTGGTAATTCTTTAAAAAAAGGAAAGAAATATTAAGTTATGACAGTTTTAAAGTTATATTACCCAGACTGAGGGCAGGGACTCAAGATTTCCAGCTTATCTGCCCCAAATTAAAGAATTCATTCACTCTTATTTTTTAAATATTAGTTTTTAGTTGCCAATCAATGTTGTTTTATTTATTTATATGTAGTGCTGAGAATCAAACCCATGCTAGGCAAGTGCTCTACCACTGAGCCACAACCCCAGCCCCATTCACTCTTATTGGACAAAAAGGTCTATATTTAACTGTTACAGAAGTTTGAACTGCACAGAATAATTCAACAAGACAATTTTTTAAGTCTCTAGGTTTTGGCAAGTGGAAAAACTTCCTGTGTTACACTTTAGCAAATCAACAAATATTTAATTTGTATGTTCATATTTTTTGTATACAGGTATGTTGCATAAAAACTGACCTATCAGAAAGGCATGCAGCCTCATGGCTTCAACATTTTTTCTTAATAATGTACTCAAAATTCTGAAATTAAAGAATTCTGTAGAAAGTTCAGGAAATCCCAAATTACAATTTAAAATGTCAGCAAACTAAGGAATGGAGGAAATTAGAATTTTAACTGAGAAAGTTAATTCTTCACCTTTAAAACCCAAAATATATATGAACATAAACTTTTAAAGAAACAAAGTTGCTGCCACTTAGGCATGAAAATAATGGTTTAGATCAATTACTGATTATATTCACTTAATAATAGAGCAAGCATATTTTCAAAGAGCAACTATAAGCCAATTTCTGAATTATTCCCTTTAACTAACCTTTCTAGTATCAACTGATGCAAATACATTTCCTCTTGTACTACCACTGAAGCCAGGAACATATGTACTAAAGGCAATTTCTTCCAACCATGCAGGTACATCCTGTTGAGCCTTTAAAAAAAATATTATATGCAACATAAAGTCTCAAAGATTGGTGAAGTCTATTTTTTGTACATATGCATAAAAATATCTCAAAAATAAAATAAGAACATTTTCCATTCAGTTTTATAATTTTAAAACTTACATCTGACAGTACTTTCACTAGAGGCTGTGCTAAATGATTATCTGATTCAGGATCAAAAAAAGAAATAGCTCTGCCAGTATTCCCACAACGCCCAGTGCGCCCAATTCGATGAACATATTCATCAATGGTAGAAGGAAGATCAAAATTGATAACATGTTGAACATTTTCAATATCAAGCCCTCTGGCAGCTACTGAAGTAGCAACAAGAACAGGGCACTTTCCACAGCGAAAATCTCCAAGAGCTTGCTCTCTCTCTCTCTGTTCTCGATCACTTGAAAGAAAAGGAAGCTTGTATTAGTACAGCTTTTAAGAAAATAAAATTCAACATATAATTTTTTAAAACTAATTAAAATGTCAGCATTTAATGTATTCTTCCTACATAGGAAGGTATTATACAAATTCCTTTCAATCCACCAATTTTATTTTCTCCTCACAATAATACCTTGAATTGGAATAATTATTCCATTTGCAGATGGGGGTAACAGCTAATACACAGGGCCAGAATACAAGCTCAAGTATGACAAAAGTCAAATCATACCTAGTAATAATCTCTATGCTTTCTAGTTCTGCTAAAAATTATACAACTACTTGGTTAGAATGCTTGCTCAATAAACTAAAAATTTAAACTATAATTTCAGAATTGTACATATTCAGTGATTAATACTTTAGATCTATTAGTAAAACATCAATAAGGTTGTGGTGATATGACTTTTTTTTTTGATGGTACTAGGCCTCCCACATGCTCACCAAGTGCTTACCACTCAGTGAATTCTATCCCCAGCCCATGATATGACATTTTTAAGCACTCCAATTAAAACAAAAGAAAACCTGAAACCAGAAAGATTTAGCAAAGGAAAAATGTAGACATAAGACCAAGAGATCTTTAAATGAAATCTCTTGAGAAGTTCTCACTCCTCATGATGAGGAACCTAAGGCATACCTTTTACCTGCTCATTCCCACCAGTTAGTTCCTAAGAAAACTAAGAATGGAGATGAAGAATAATAATTTAGCCCTCTTGGGTATACCACACTTTGCTGTGCACCGAGGGGAAATAAATGGGGGATAACAGTGTATATCTTAAGACAATTCTGAATTCCAAACCTATTAATTCCTATTACGTCGTGTTAGTTTGAGTCTTGCATCACTTGACAATGGGGACATATTCCAAGAATGTGTCATTAGGCTATTTTGGCGTTATACAAACATCATAAAGCGCACTTACACAAACTAAGATGACAATACCATAAGGCAATATAATCTTAAGGAACCACTGTCACACGTGCAGTCTGTCATAGACCAAACTATTGTTGTATGACCCATACCTGCATATATACCAATTTGCTCAAACAGAAGTGCATCTTCTCCTAGGAAATCATATTACTCACCCATGAATACTTGTAGTTGATATTTTTTCTTGACAAAGAAAAGTTGCAATAAAATCTGCTTTCTTCTTGGTTTCAACAAAAACCATAGTTCTTTCATCACCTACAAAAATAACAAAATTATTAACATTCAAACTACAAAATTAAAAACAAGAAAAAAAGGCGCATATTTGAACAGGAAACTTTTGTTTCATCAACCCAAAGTACCAGCACCCAGATCCAGGTCTGGTACTTGAGAGGAGTCAAATGTTCCTTGAATGGATGAATGTCAAAAAGACAAGTTCTCCCAGTTTAGGGATTTAAAAAATTACCTTGCCTTTTCTCTTCCCAGGCCAGATTTAGGGACTAATAACTTCCTGCCAACTTCTAGTAGTTTCAAATTTGCCTCTGTCCATTTTCCCAAAATATCTCATATATTTAAAAAGTTAAATGACAGCCTTTCCCAAGATCTTAACTCATTAATAAATATTTACTTGTTAGCTTAAAGTATTTAACTGATAGAAATTCAAGTATGGGGCAGATTTTCCACACAGTCAATATCCCTATATGTTGAGAAGATAATTTTTACCTTTAATGGAAGGAAGAATTTATTGTTGCTCATACCCTCTCCCTCTCATTTACCCCATCAGCTCACTGCATTCACTCATTTATTCAACAGTTAGTGCCAATTAGATGCCTATCACTATTCTAAGTGTTAGTAATACAGAAATAAAACTCCTGCTCTTACTAGGGGGAGGCAAAACATATTAAATCTTGAAAAGAATCACCAGAATCAAGATGCAGAGATTACTTCAGATAGAGTAATTAGGTGATATCCGAGTAAAGACATAAAGATTGGTGAACTATGCAAATACCTGAGGAAAGAGCATTACATGGTAGAGGGGAGAGCAGGTATAAAAGGCTCTGAAATGGTGTTATCAGGCTCAAAACAAAACAAAAGAGACCCTCATATGGCCTGCCCATTAAAGGCAAAGGGAATAGTTAAAGTACAAAGGCAATGAGACAGAAGTATGCCTAGTATATGTAAGGAATACTAATGGACAAAACGTGGCTTAGGGTGCCCAAAGGAAACTAGGAGATAAACTCAAGAGAGGTAATGGAGGCCATCATACAAGGGCCTTGAAGGCCAATGAAAGAATATTTTTACTCTGAGAAAGGAAGCCGCTGGGTTTTGAGTAAAGTAACACTTTTAACTGAGAAGTTAATAGGTTCTAGATATATTTTGACAGTAGAACCAACAGGATTTTGATAACAGATTAGATGTGTAATTAAATAAATCAAGATAAGGATGTTGATTCATAATGGGGTTGGGGTGTAAGGAGCATGGGAGGATTAGACAAACTCTAGATAGGGCAAAGAGGTGGGAGTGGAAGGGGGGACTCAGGGGTATTAAAGATAGTGGAATGAGATGCACATCATTATCCTAAGTACGTGTATGAAGACACAAATGGTATGACTCTACTTTGTACACAACTGGAGATATGAAAATTTGTGCTCTACACATGTAATATGAATTGTAATGTATTCTGCTGTCACATAACAAATTAGAATAAAAAAATAATTTAAAAAATAAAAAAAAAGATAAATCAAGGATGTTTCCAAGAATTTGTGCCTGAACAACTGGAAGAATGGAACTAACATTTAAGTGATGTGATAAGAGTGCAAGTTATTTAAAAAAAAAAAAAAAAAGGTTTGGAGGCTAATACTCAGATACCTATTAAACAACCAAGCAGACAAATGAAAAAGGCAACTTGTTCCCACAGTAGTAAGTTAAATCTTTGAGACACAGTTATTTTATATTTGTTTAACATTTTTATGTTTTATCAAAAATTATCTTTCAATAGTTTTGGAGGTCATCCCACAAGATGCTTAGTGCCAAACTGATTCACATGACAGAGCAAGGTACATATAGCACTGGTGTGCACCCTAATACCTGGTATTGCCTTTCTTGCTTCCCACTGTCAATCTCAAATGGCAATAAATAAAATAAATAAAACTCTGATGACTCCATTTCTCTAGTTTTTTCCTCTCTACTAATTTTATATTTGTTCTAGTTTAGACAATAAACTATTTTCCATTAGTGGCAGCAATGATTACATAGTTTTATGAGACCATCTGGTGATCTCTAACTATTTTCTGTGAGGTGAAAAATACAGAAGACCCATTTTGTAAGTCTACTTCTTTAGTTGTCTATTGTGAGGTATAGCAATTAAAAAATCTAAAAATTATTCTCACTTTGGCAAGCTAGATTATAATTTTTTGTATTTCTATGTTAATTCTTGACATATGACTCAAGTAGTAAAACTAAAGCTATAAGTATTTTATGTATTTGTAATTCAATAGGGCTTTATATCACTTTGAAATCATCTCAATATCCTATAATAGTATTAATAACTTAAGTATTAAATTATAAAGTCTCAAAGAAGCTCCATTTTGATTGGTTTATAGATATGAATGAAATAAAAAAAATGTTACCAGAAAATAAAGAATATTATATTCCCAGAAAATAAAGAAACTGAACTTGTAATATACTAATTGTATTAAACTTTTGAAAAAAACTTATTATGGAAAATATTAGATATTTAAACACTATACATACCTATACATATATACATACATACATACACATACACACACACACACACACACACACACACACACACACACATACACACTTTTTTGGAGGGGGGCAGTGCTTGGAATTGAACCCACAGCATTAAGCATGATAGACAAGTGCTCTACCACCAAGCCATATCCCTAGTCCTAAATCAAAAATCATTAAAGAATCCACGTTGACATAACCCTTTAATAAATAAGACTATTTTAATAACTTAGGTTTTAAAAAACACTATTTTTTTCCTCCTGTTAAACCATATTAGGTATCAAACAAACATCTTAGTCTATTTGAATTTGATTTTCCTTTCATATACAGGTCTACCAGTCAAACTAAAATTACTCCTTCATAATGTTTAGAAATATAAACATGTAAGTTGGGTACGTGGTGCCTCTAATACCAGCTACTCAGGAAGCTAACACAAAAGGATCACAAGTTTGAGGTCAACCTGAGAAACTTAGAGACCTTGTCTCAAAATTTTAAAAAAGGCTGAGGTAGAACACCATTGGGTTTAATTTCCAGTATCATCCACCCCCCAAAAAGAAGCCTAAACATGTAAATTTGCATTCAATATTCAACAGTATTTACATTTTGAAAAACATCATTTTGAAGATGATTTTCAAAATTTTGAGGTAACTTAAAATAAGAGACATGCTTACATATGACATCTGATATCTCTCAATATTGCACCCTGTCCCCAGGGTAAAATAGATAATATTTTGGTTAAAAATATAAGTGGTCAGAGCTGTACTAGAAATAATAGTGACAGAAAAATATAAACTATGTGTGCTTTTTTGGGGGGGCGGGGAGTGTTTTTCCTAAGACTGGGGTTATGGGTTCAGCGGTAGAGCGCTTGCCTAGCACACGTGAAGCCCTGGGTTCGATCCTTAGCACCATATACAAATAAATAAATAAAATAAAGGTATTGTGTCCAAAAGTGGTAACTATCAAACATTTTGGTCTATGTCTCCATGTTTAATGTTTAACTCATAAAACACTCTTGAGAATCCCAAAGAGTTTTTATTATATGAGTTACAATGCTTGGTATTTACCATATTAAAAATAAAATCCAAGGAAAAGTTTAAATATTTATTTGAACACACTGAATGTTAAATAATTTTTAGTATAACTATGAAAATTATTTTTACCTTGCAGACCACTTTAAAGGATCTTAGGAAACCTAGGGAAGACTTGCTTTGTTCTAAAGTGTTACATTCTAGAATACTAAAAAGTACAATAAAAGACAAAATTTGGAAACTTAATTTTCTTTGTTTTGATTTATAATACTTGAGTCTAAAAAGAGCTATGAAATGATAAAAATTTAGCAAAATTCATTCAATTTGGATGGAATTACTTCTTTATTGTTTATCACCTTATAATATGAAAGGTTATTCTTTACTTTCCTTGTAATCAGCCTAGACAGTAGAGATTGTTGATTTTATTATGAATTTTGATTAAAGAGAGGAAAAGACCCCTACTTATGAAATAGTTGGGGTTCTTTACAACCATGTTGTTAACTTCTATGTATATTTCTAAATGCCTTATTGTCATTTCAATTAAACTGGTAGCCAAAAATTGTTGCTCAAACACCCATGGATCCTACACTAATTGAATGTTCAACTCTTCTCTGAAAACTCTTTTTTAAGAGCAGAATGTAAATTTATAAAAAAGAAATCTACCTTTAAAATTTCTGAAAGCCCATGCAAAAGACTTATTATTTTACCTTATAAAAGAAGGAATGCTTGAAATAATTATACATCTGATACATTACTATTGTATGAGTTGTGTGATAAGAGTTGTCAAATCAGAAGAGACACAAAGCTTCTCTAAATTAAAGAGTATAAGTAAAATGTTTATTTCAAAAGTATATATACTTCACAGGAATTCCCTAGAAATTTGTAAATTCCCTCACTGTCCTTAATGTTTTTAACCTTCAGAAGAAATCACTCATCAAAACTCTTAATATAGGAAAACTTCATAGAATTATTTGCTAAGAGTCCTGATACAACAATACAGTAATGACATTCATAATTTCACTTATTATTCAAAATATTTATTTATCTACAAACTTCTTTCCTAATTTGAATTTATCATCTTCTAGGCCAATGTTCTCAACTAGGAATGTAGATTAGGCTTACACATGGAATTTTGAGAAAACAAATGTCTGAACCCTACAGTTAACTGAATCTATTCTGGTCATAAAAATTATGTCTAATCATTTTCATTAATGATTTTTTGCAGTATTGCACAATAAACTTAAGGCCTTGCACATGCTAGGCAGAGCTCTAGTACTCTACCACTGAGCCATCTTCCAGCCTGATTTACTTCTAATTCTGAATCATAAAATCTTTTACAAAAGAGTTTTAGAGGAAGAGGAAATACACTTACTAGAAGTTATGCCAAACATTATAATGATTTTTAAAAATTAGTCATTTTTAAAAAATCAATATCATAACAAAAAATATCAACATAAGATACCTATGTTTCGTAGAATTTCGACAAGTTTTTCTCTTTTTGAGTACTGGCCAACTTGGAGAATGGTCTGCTGAACATCTCTACATGCTCCACCCACTTGTCCAACAGCAACAAACAAATAATTCGACTTTAAAAACTCCCCAGCCAACCTTGAAAGACAAAAGATTATTCCTTAGCTTACTTATACTCCTCCATTCATGCTCATATTTGCTGAAGTCCTGAAAGTGTTACTTCCATATTTACTAAACAGCAGATGATAACAGTGATAAGGTGGCTTTTTATGTCATCCAAGTACTATTTTCAAAGATCAGGACACAATGTTAAGATTTTGCAAAAATATATAATTACTAGCAAATAAGTTTGTATCAAATTATGGATACAATAACTTCCAATGGATTTGGAAGTAGTCCATATAAAACTTCATAAAATGTGTACAGAAAAATTAAAAGTGAGAACTAAAACATACTTTAACAAGCAGAAATTTTATAATTAAAAATTGAAAATTAAAAAAGACCAAGATAGTCTTCCCTTGTTATTTCTTATGTACATCATTGCTAGGAATTGTTTTCTGATAATATTACCTGTTAGACTACTCTGCTTCAAATAAATGAGTATGAGCAAACCAGATCACAGATCAGTGCTTCTTATGTTACTACACACACACACACACACACACACACACACACACACACACACACA